GGCAGCGCCGCGCGCCCCTTCGCCCGCGGGGCCTCGGGCGCCGCCGCCTCCCCGCGGCCGCCGAGCCGCGCTGGACACGCGCCGCGCCCGCCCGACTGACTCCTGCTGTTCCCCCCGCCAGAAAACACCCCCTGTGAACGTCTCTCTGGTCGCCGAAACTTGCTTCGATTTTTATTATTATTGTTGCTATTTTTTTTTTAACGAACGAGTAATGGCTGCTCTCGCAAACGCCGCCTGATGCCGCGGGGAGATGAAGTGCGGCTGAAAGTTTCCCTGCCACCTTTGGATGAATCTGTGGAGCTTAAACTGTAGGAAGGAAGGGGATAAAAAACACGATGAAAGAGAAGTCCAAAAATGCTGCCCGGACTAGGCGGGAGAAAGAAAACAGTGAATTTTACGAACTGGCTAAATTGCTGCCCTTGCCCTCGGCCATCACCTCGCAGCTGGACAAGGCATCCATAATCAGACTCACCACCAGCTACCTCAAAATGCGGGTGGTTTTCCCCGAAGGTAGGTGGCAACGGCGGCTCCTGCCCGCGCTCCGGGGCCGCGCTCGGGCGCGGGGCTCCGCGCGGTCACCCCCTCCCCGAAAACGCTTTCAGTTCCTCGCCAACGGCGGGTTTGCCTGGGGACTTGCAGGGCTTTGGCCAACACTTGGAGGCACAGAGCGCATTCCATTAAAGCAAACACCTATTTCCTTTTCTTTTTTTTTTTTTTTTTTTTTTTTTTTTTTTTTTTTTATCTCCCCTTTTTTTTTTTTTTTTTTTTTTTTTTTTTTTTTTTCTTTTTTTTTTTCCCCCCAATCTGAGAGCTGCATCCCCCGTGCACGAAGCACGTGCACGGCAAAAGAGGGGGCGATTCAGCCATAGTTGCAGCTACACTATGGGGAGGGGGAGAGTTAATATATGGGTAAATATTTACATAAGCCTATGCAAAGTCCTAAAGCCTCAGTTGGAGCACGGAGCTAGAGGTGCGCTGAGCAGGTACCGCGCGCAGCCTCGCATCGCCCAAATCAACCTTGGAGGCCGTTAATCCACCCGGGAAACTTTCAACGGGAGTTTTAGACTCCTCTGGCAGCCAACGGTGGCAACGCTGCGTGCCCGGGGCGGGGGGCGGCGGTGCCGCTGCTGGAGATGGGGCTTAAGCGTCCCCGTCTATTTCGGGGCTGCCTCGGGTTTAAGTAGCCTGGAGATTTAAAGCGAGACCGTCCCGGGGCTTCGGGATCGGCCGCCAAGAAAAACAAGCGGCGGCGGAGCTAGGGAGCTCGGAGGGAAGTTCGCCCCTGTCCTCAGCCTGTTGCTTTTTCAAGGAGTAGGAAAAATAGTTTGAAGGGGAAGAAAACATGCAGTTCGCGAATGTTTTATTTAGGTCAACTGCATGACAGACAAAGCACCGAGGGGTTTCCTCGGACCTAAGAGCAACATTCGTTGCTTCTTTCGTTTAAGTGCCTGTATTCCTTAGAAATGCATGTAAGTGTCCGTATTTCTTAAAAATACATTTGACTGCGCGTATTCCTGCGTGGAGCTGCTGTAGTCCACGGGCTCCTATATTTGTTCCAGCTTTGTCCCGAATCTGTCAGTCTGTTTGTCTATCCATCTGTCTCTCCGTGTCTTACAAAGAAAGAGAGGCTTTACAACTTTTTTTTTTCTTCTTTTATTTTATTTTACTCATTTCTCTATTTTATTTGAACCAGCCTGAAAAGCTTTAGCATTAATTCTGCTTTTGGAAGGTAAACGTGTATTCTTGCAGTCATGTGGGCCGAAGCAGTTAGCCCCTGCCCCGTGTTCTGTATCTACTGTATCTGTATATATATATGTATATATAAAAGTAAGTATGTGTTTGTGTGTACACATATAAATATATATCGATACACATATATAAATATATAGATATACGTATATATAGATATACATATATAAATATATATATGAACATATATGTTTGTATATGAACGAGTAATGTATCTAAAAACCTCTGGTAGTAAGTTCAACCTAGTGCAGCTCGCGCCGGTGTCCTTAAAAATATCCCGTCCCTCCGAGTTGCTTGCGGCCACAAAAACAAACAAACAAACAAACAAACAAACAAAGCTGCAACATCTGAAATCTGGAATAATAACAATGATAATAATGATAATAATGTTTATAATAATGATTAGAACTCTATCAGCGCGCGTTCCTATTGCTTTACCTTCCGGGCCGAGGACCATTAAAAATAAACAAATAAATAAAAAGGGGTCGAGCTGGTGGCCTGGGAGGGTGGCGGGGGAAGGCGCCGGTCTCTGTCCCGCGAGGGCCGCTGCCGGTCCCGGAGCCGGGGTTCGGGCAGAGAGAAGCTGCGCGCCCCGCGCAGGAGCCTCTCGGCGGGGCGGGATCCGCGCACGGGCCGGTTCGACTGTTCTGCCTGGCGCGCGGGTTGGCCCCGAGGAGGCTCCGGGGCCGCGCGCGGGCGAGGCTCCCTTGGCCCCGGCCACGAGCGAGTTGCCCCGAGCCGCCCTGCGTGGGCAGCGTGGGCGTCTCTCTGCGGACCGTTACTGTGTTTTACGTACTTATTTTTATATGCGAATATAGGTGGGCTTCCGTGCTGCCAGTCTTACAGCAGAAGGTCACAGGAGATTTTGCTCGCGGAGTATCTTCCCTCGTGTAATTTGCCATGTAATTCTCACGCGCTCTGAAAACGCTCGGTTTGTTCATTCTGTTCACTTTGCTGCATCTCCAGCAGACTAAAAACGTCAAAAGCGAGAAGGCTCCCGTGTCTTGTCAACATGCACACATACACATATCCACGCATGACATGGAATCAGCGCCGCGGGCAGCTTGCGTCCCCCCAGAGCTAAAACTGTCCCCTCGCTCAGGACAAGGGACCTCAAGAGGCATTTGGCACTTTGGGTGCTCAGTCGTCTTCGGAGAAAACTGCAGAGCAGCTAAATGGCGGAGAACTATACTTATTACTATTACTATTACTATCATCTTAACCAGAACTTCCTAAAGAATTCAGCAGTGTGGTAGGGAATACAAAATTATTAAAAAAAAAAAAAAAAAAAAAAAGCAAGCAAAAAAAGTTCTTAGAATATATCCAATCCGAAAAACGCAAATTAACATTAGGCGGCTAACGTTGTCTAATGCAGCCCGAGCAAAAGACATCGGGCCCGCGAACGACTGAGACGATTTTGCTTCCGAGGGAGCCTCGGTCGTTGTAGCCAGCGGGGTGGCTCCCTGCGCGCCAGTATCGACGTGGAGGAAGCCAAAAATCAAAGACCAGAAAACACAACTGGAGAAGCAACGCAGGATTTCTTATTTGGGGATATTTAAGGGTGCTTTCCTTCTTGGATTGCTGGGGAAAGGATCGTTTGCGATTTCTACCCTGCTCCAGGCAGAGTTTCCATACAGCTTTTTTTTTTTTTTTTTTTTTTTTTTTTATTTTATTTTATTTTTCAGGACAAAAGCAGGGGCTCTGTTTAAATCAACTCTCGTCGAATCGCGATGGTTAACATTGCAATATAAAAACTCTTAATCTTGTTTTATTTTAAAGGGGTAAGAGACTAGCAGGAAAAAAATCCATTTCCCACGTGGATAGGTGATTTAATGCTGTTTTTCTTGCTGCTGAGGGAAATGATTGAGCATTGGGTTTCAGTGTTTATTTTCTTACAGAAGTTTTTCTCATTTAAGCTGCAGTTTACTCTCCACGCTGCTTCCCCGTGTTTAATTCCGGTTTTGATGTGGACTTAAAATGTGAAGTGCAGAACTAAACTCTTAGCAGGAGAGTCGGGGGGAAAAAAGTAGATCTATATGTCAAAAAACACAGAGGAGTGGAGAAAACCCTATTTTCTTTAGAAACATCCTCTTCCTTAGTAATATGCGACCGTTTTTAATGTCCGAGGTACTTTTCCAGCTTGCATAGGAATTGCGCATTTTCACAAGTCTGTTGCTGCAAACACATCTCCTTTCTTCAGAACAGGGAGAAATTTGAATTTGCATTTTTGCACAGAAAAGAATAAGCAGTTGGTATTTGAGGATTTTTTTTTCATTGTTTCTTCTTTTCATTTAGTTATCTATTTATTTATAGTTGGGGCATGGTTCCGTTTCTTTGCGTTTCGGAGCGCCATTTCGGTATCTCGTTTGTGTCAAAACGTTAACGTTTCCTGCTATCTCGAGTCACCCTCGGCACTGTTTCTGCCGCTGTTTTCTCGACGGGGATGTTTGTTTAGCCAAGGGGACTCCCTCCCTCCTTAATTCCTATTTCATAAAGAGAGTGGGATGCTGACTTCTCTGTGCTTCAGATGACTACGTGTGATTTACCGAGATAATAAATCTCCGCCAAACCTCCCCAACGGCATCCGCGGCCGTTTGGAGCGGAGCAGCGTTTGTGTCGGCGTTGCCTTTTCCGTCTTTTTTTTTTTTTTTTTTTTTTTTTTTTTTTCTTTTTCTTTTTCTTTTTCTTTTTCTTTTTCCTTTCCCCGTTTATCTTACCCATCCGTCACGAGCCGCTTCTGCACGGAAGCCTCGTTTGGTCGAGACTTTAACTAACCGTTAGTGAAGTCACCGTTAGTGAAGCCACCCTTAGTGAAGTTACCGTTTTTGAAGTTATCATTACTTAAGTTATCGTTAATGAAGTTAACGTTAGGGAAGTCACTATTAGTGAAGTCACCGTTAATGAAGTTATCGTTAGTGAAGTTACCGTTAGTGAAGTCGCCGCTAGGGAAGTGACCGTTAACGGCTGCCCGGTACACTAGCGCCGGCGCTGCCGGCGGGAGGCGGAGCGGTTGGTTGAGCGGTTCGTGGCGTCCGTTTAGCCTCATCCCGCTGAGGGGGCTCAGCCAGGCCAGGGAGAAGCCTCCTGCCGGCTCCGCCGCCGCCCGGCCCTGGCCCTGCCGTGCGAGGCCGCGGCGAGGGGCGGCCTCCTGGGGCCCTCCCCGCCAAGGGGCCTCTGGAGGGAGCAACTGCCGCCGGGAAAGCCGCGTCCAAGGAGCTCCCGGAGCCCCTTTTTCCTGCGCCCTCCTCCCCCTTGGCCGAGATCAAATCTAGACGGGATCCAGGCGCCCCTTCCTGCCCTCACGGGACGGGTTGTCCCGCCGCTGCCTCCGTTGGCTGCTGGCCCTGGGCTCGCATCAGAGCCCCGGGGAGGGCAGCGCCAGACCAGAGCCCCCCGGCTCTTGGACACGGCTTAGGGCGGCAGGAGGAACCGGACAGCCCGTGGCTTGAGGGAGGCGCGGCCGAAAACCCGTCGTTTAGCGCGAAGTCACCGGCCACCAAGCCGCTTGCTACGGGCTTTAGCCCTCGCAAAACCTGTGAGCCCCGGGATTTTTCCATTAGGGGGTGTTGGAATAAGAGCTGAGTCAGCACCGGCAGGGTAGGTACTGCTCAGAGCACCCCTCTGAGAGATGGATTTTTGCTGGCAAACGAGTCACAACCCACCTAAAATACCCATCTTTTGCTTTTAATTCCTCATATTATTATTATTATTATTATTATTATTATTATTATTATTATTATTATTATTATTATTATTATTATTATTTTCCTCCTAAAGGTGGACAGTTTCTTATGGCCCAAATTGTCTGTCTTCTTAGGAAAGAAATATTCTCGAGTGGAGGAGATTGTTACATACGAGCCTTTAATCTTTCTTTTGTCAAGAGCATAAAATTCACCCCGAAAGAAAAGCTCGAGCAATTTATTTTTGCTGCTCGCAATAACACAGCTGGATGATGCCCTGAGCTTATGCTGCACGGTGGCTCATCACTCATTCGCCAAGAACTGGCCTAAATGATGCCTGTGGGATTAGGTCAATTTTAGTGGATCTACTTCGCCTCATTTGGTTACTAATTGGTTTCTTGTTTTATAAATCGAAATCTCATTTTCGGGAAATTACAAAGCCCGCGCAGCCGGTCCATTGAGGTAATCCGGGGGCCGGGGGTATTTAAATGGAAATGGTTCCACAACGCGCCGGGTCTTAAGCAACAGGAAAACTTCGCCTCTATTTCCGACTGAAACGTGAGCTCCCCAGCTCCTTAGATCCCTAATAGATACATCCCTGCTAAGGCTACTTATGTAAATATGATAAAGCAGACTTTGCTGGGGGAGGGGACTCAGCGAGGGAAGCCAATTTTCTTTGCGAAGGTTAACGTGGCATTTCTTGGAAATCTTCCAAAATCGACGCTGTTTTGCTTTGTCTCCGGCCACTTTAGCTGGGAAAATCCTTTGCCTAAAAACGATTTAGTTATTCTTCCTCTCACAGGGCTGCTTGCTTCTGTTCCAAACCTATTATTCTGTTGGTTCTCCAAATTGCAAGGGAATCTTTAGATCTTGTTTCCAGCCTAATCCTGAAGCAAAAGGGAGAGTTTGATTTCCCTGTTTTGTTTTAAACAGACAGTCAAAGGATTTGCCGAATTTTCTGCGGTAGGTCAAGTGCAAAAAAAAAAAAAAAAAAAAAAAAAAAGCAGTTTGGCCCCCTCTGTAAAAGAGATGTTAAAGCTAAAGAAGAGGAAAAAATAACAAAAAGGAATAATAATGGGAGCTTTTATGGTATCACTTTAAAAAATATGCAAAGAAGTATTTAAAGGGCATCGGGAGAATCCATAGATTAGGGAAAGGTCGGTCTTGGCAACGAATAAAAACAGTCTCCGTCTTGAAAGCAGGGCAACGTATGTGAAAAACCAAGGAATTGTCTCATGCGAGAGGGTTCCGAAAAGCCGGCCCAGGTAGACAAGGGAAAGCGCTTAATTAGCAAACATGAAGAGCCGGACGGAGCAGCGCGACGTTTCCACCTGCAGCATGAAGGGGAGCTCAGTGCTCCGTGAAAACCCGCGCGCCTGCAAGAGGTTAACATGTAATGCCGGCGAGCTGTTCATTAACCCGCGGCGCTCCGGTTATTTTCCCTTCTGGAAGACGAATAATTAGACCCGTAAACTTAGATTAATCAGCAACCCCAATGAGCAGCCCTCGACTCTCAGATCTGGCGCTCCGGGATCCCTCCGGGTGGGGGGCACCAAAATATCGGCCCTTGGAGATCTGGCTCCCCCGCAGAGCAGCTCCGCGATGCTCAAGCCAAAGCCGAGTACATGGGGCTGTTTTCCCCGGGAGCTGTGGGAGATTTGCCTGGATTTTCGGCTGGCCGGGGGAGGAGGTCGTAGCTTGTCGCGGATCCTCCGCACCCACTGCTTTGGAGGGGGAGAAGATAGGGCCAGGAGAAGCCTGTGGAAAAGGGATAAAAATCCCTAGGGGACCGTTAATTGGCAGGAAGAAACTAACGGGAAAGCTCTGCCCCTGCCACCTCACCCGTTTACCCCAAAATTCCTGGGAAACGGGGTCCTGCCTCCGTCGAGCCCCCGCTAGGAGGAGGTGGAGGGGAACGTCACAGACTCCCCTTCGCGCTCCGGAGTCGATCGGGATTTTTATTCCCCCTCCTCCGCCTTTTACTTAATCCTAGTGTCCGTGCGTGGCGGGTTACGCCTCATTAACGGCGCGGGCATAGAGAGGTTCTAACCGCCCCGCTTGAATTATCTCAGCGACAACAGTATCAAAAGGCATCGCCCACAAACAGCTCTACCCCGGCAGAGCCATTTCCATCTGGCTTCCATTCCCCCCCACTTTGCATGCGGGAAAGCCAGCGGCCTCTGCAACATTAGGCAAGGCCGGGGAGACTCCGTTTTCTGGAGGCCGGGCGGGCTGCTTGGAGGCAGAAACTTCTTCCCTGCCCGACACTCGTGCGGGACAAGGCGGCAGCAAAGCTTATATGTATGTGTACATATCTATATGTAAACGTAAGGAGAATACGCGTGGAAAATTGAGAAGGAAGCTCTTCCTCAGCAGGGCAGGGCGACTCAGTTTTTCGTCTCCTCACGCTATTTTTCACGTGTCTTAACTGAACAGGACTTGGAGAAGCCTGGGGCCATTCCAGTCGAACCAGCCCGTTGGATAACGTTGGACGGGAACTGGGATCGCATCTTTTGCAGGTACTGGTCTGGAAACGGCAGCTATTCGGTATTAATGATTAAGGAAATCCTTCCCTCTTCTGCGCTTTTAATTGCCACCTGGGCTAATTTTTAACTGGTCACGTGTTTAGTTTAAAAAAAAAAAAAAAAAAAAAAGGAGGGGGGAACGGGGACATGTACACCAGAAATACGAGACATCGTGGCAGAATGAAGAGGAGTTTATCAGGACCGTAGTCCTGATATCTGGTCCCTCTGTATCCACTGGCTCTGGAGTGAGCCCTTCATCCCAGTCCTCCTGCTGTCCCTAGGGAAGAGAGGGCTGCTTTTCCCCGAACTCCAGACTGGGGTGACACGTCCCAGCAAGGTGCTACTTCTTGGAGAAGTGTGTTGAATCGTCACACAAATAAGCAAAAACAATAATAATAAAAATAAATAAATAATAATAAAAAAGCAGGAGATGAGAGAACTCTCCACTATCTGAAAGATGAGGGAATGTTAGCCCTTATCGCAATCACGCATTTCTGGCAGACCGGTGTGGCCTTTAGCAGACTGCAGCCAATTTTTCCCTCGCCCCATTAGCATCTCCCGAACCATGCCTAATAAATAGTCTGGTCTCTTCCAGACCTTTATTTACACTGCGGAGAGTTTTAGATCGCCTTTGCTCGCGCCAAGTCTCCTTAGCAAATATTCGGGAGTTAAAAGCCCTGCTGGCATCTGGAACGGGGCAGGAGTGCTCGGCACTTCTCATACGGACATAATTGACCGCAGAGGGTGCGGGAGCTCTGGAGATGCTGCCCTTAGGCGCTTCCCAGGCACTTGGCATCGCCGGGACCTTTTGAGCTGGGTCCCTCTGAGGAGCAGGGAAACCGTAGGAGTTTTGGAGAGTTTCCTTTTAGGACTTGCTCGTTTTCCTTCCAACTTTTTGATTAGCCACAACAGACACCACCGCTAAAATAAAGCCCCGAAAAGACAGGTAGCTCGTGGATACACGCGAGGAATTTTCCCCCGTCCTCTCCACGCTTTTCCTGCAGACCTTGGACGGCTTCATATTCGTCGTGGCTCCGGACGGCAAGATCATGTACATCTCGGAGACGGCCTCGGTGCACCTGGGTTTGTCGCAGGTACGTCGGGGTTGGCAGGGGACATCGGGCGGGCTCCGAGGTGCCCCCCTGCTCCTCCTCTTCCTCCCCCTCCTCTCGGTGTTGCAGGTAGAGCTGACCGGTAACAGCATTTACGAGTACATCCACCCGGCTGACCACGACGAGATGACGGCCGTGCTCACGGCCCACCAGCCCTACCACTCGCACTTCGTGCAGGGTAAGAAGGAGCTCAGCCCCCGGGCCCGGGCCGCCTCCCGGCGCGGTCTGCGCGGCCGCGGGGGGCAGCGCGCCCCGCTCAGCGCCCCCTCTGCCCCTGCCCCGCAGAGTACGAGATCGAGCGCTCCTTCTTCCTGCGCATGAAGTGCGTCCTGGCCAAGAGGAACGCGGGCCTCACGTGCGGCGGCTACAAGGTGCGTCCCCCGCGCTCAGTTTGCGTTTATTTTTGCTTTGTTTTTGCGCCACGGGGTGCCCGGGGAAGCCGCTAGGTGCTCCCGCCAGCCGCACAAAGACAGCGAGCTGTGCTTATATATCCCCATGTCCCGGTAACCATCGGAGATGCTGTGCTACGATGCACATCAGGGAAAACACCCGCTGAACTAACGCAGGGAAGAAATACGGGATGCCGAGGTGAGGTGGGAGGTGCATAGCAGAGGTGCTGTGTCATATAGGCACCATACCTAACCCACAGCACTCGCGTGCAAGGTGCATTTAGGCGACACACCTCTCTGCCTCCAGAGAGGCATTCCGCCCTTGAATCTGCCCTGCTAATATAACATGTGACACGCGCTCACGTGGAAACCCTCCCTCACACGCACGTATGGCTCTCCGTGCTGTTGTACCCTGCTGGGCTCTTCCGCGCCCATCCTCCCAAGTAGGATAATGGAAGCGCAGTGAGGAGGTGGTCCAGAAACCACTTAAGTCGATGGAGGGGAAAAAAAGAAGAAAAAAAAAAAAAAAAAAAGAGGAGGGGAGGGGACCTCCACGACTTTAATGGATGCTTAGATCAGTGCTTAACTTTCATTTAAAAGAAAAAAAAAGAAAAAAGAAAAAAAAAGAAAATAGAGAAATCCCAGGGACAGTGGTTGCTCGCAGGGGTCTCGCAATTCCAGGGCACACACATCTAGACTGCCTGTCCCGGGTCCCCCTGCTTGCAGCAGAGCCTTCCCCGGGCCAGGGCGGCCCTGAGCTTTCGTGTGCCCCACCGGCAGGTCATCCACTGCAGCGGGTACCTGAAGATCCGCCAGTACAGCCTGGACATGTCCCCCTTCGACGGCTGCTACCAAAACGTCGGCTTGGTCGCCGTGGGCCACTCGCTGCCGCCCAGCGCCGTCACGGAAATCAAGCTCCACAGCAATATGTTCATGTTCCGGGCCAGCCTGGATATGAAGCTTATATTCTTAGATTCCAGGTAGAGCTGGAGTTGCTTTCAATCTCCCCTGGCCCTTCCTTCCTCCTCCTCCCCTGCTCCTCTCCCTCACCGCTTGTGTCCGCTGCTTGTGTCTCACAGGGTGGCCGAGCTCACGGGCTATGAGCCGCAGGACCTCATAGAGAAGACCCTTTACCACCACGTGCACGGCTGCGACACCTTCCACCTGCGATGCGCCCATCACCTGCGTAAGGAGCTGTCCCCCTCCCCAGCGGCGCCTCGGCTTGGTTAGGCTTGGCCTTCAGGTGCAAACGGGGGAGGGGGGGGAAGGCAAAACCTCCAGCGGCCTTTAACGAAACGAGTCACTAGAGACTGCGCGCCCAGCTGGAGGAAGGGGACTCGGCACCAGGATAAGGATTTCCCTCCCTCTTTTCCCTCCTCAGCTCCCAGTTGAGGAACAAGAGCTCTCCTGCACAAACTTCAGGCATTCTGTTCACTTCAGAAAAAAAAAAATCACTTTTTCATGCTCCAATAAAAGGCCATCCCAGGAAAATTCAAAACCTTTTGCCCTGTTTTGAGCATCTCTCACAAATCTTACCTGTGTAGCTAATTTTGACCACAATAACGAGCCCAATTGAGAGAGCTGCTCTTTATTCTACTTTGATATCACGATGACATTAATACACGAATAGATGAATAAAAAAAGGATATTAATTTCCGGTAAGCTTCCTTACAGAGAATGTAACGAGGAGAAATAAAACCCAAAGCCAGATTTGCAGAATTAAATCTGATGACGATATGTCGGATAGGCGCGGGGAGATGAAACCCCTCTGCAGTGTATTCCCCGTATTTCACTAATCCCCCGAATATTCCTTTTAAAAAATGACTGCCTGGGAGTGTCGCATCCCGTGTTCGTTGCCCCGGGGGGGAGGAAGGTTAGAGAGGTCCTCGAGAGCTGCCCCCCCGGCTGAGGCTCTGCCCCGCTCTGTGCCCGCAGTGCTGGTGAAGGGGCAAGTGACCACCAAGTACTACCGCTTCCTGGCCAAGCACGGCGGCTGGGTGTGGGTGCAGAGCTACGCCACCATCGTGCACAACAGCCGCTCCTCGCGGCCCCACTGCATCGTCAGCGTCAACTACGTCCTCACGTAAGTGCAGCCCCCCCGGCCTGCGGTTGTGGGATGGGGAGGGGGGTCGCGGAGCCTCCTCGGAGCGGCCGCCACCTGTCTGGGAGCCCCGCTGAGCTCGTCCCTCATCATCCCCCATCGTCCCTCATCCCGCCTTGTCCCGCACCCCTCATCATCCCTCGCCTCTCTCCTTCCTCGCCCCGCGCCGCGCGGGGCTGCGGGGCCGCTCGCTGCCGTGCTGACCAGGGCGAGCTCCCGCTCACCAGGTCTGCTCGGAAACACATTGAGCACTTTCATCTAGATGAAGGGCTTCCCGTCTGCCGCTTTCCTTCTCTTTCGCCAGAGCGGGGAGGGGTAGGGGGAAGATTTAGAAGTTTGTCACCCACATACTTCACTGCCTCCCCTCCTCCCTCTCAACTTCTACTTTTTTTTTCAGTTTAAATGCACCCAGTATTAAATAAAATTTAATGCAGCATAAAAAAAATGGAGAAAAAAAAGGTTTCCACGTAAGGAGTTATTTATACTCAACAAACAGGACATCTGTTTTTCTTTTCAAAAATCTGGGGTTTGAAGTTCTTAATTTCATCCAGAGTCTCTAGTCTCTATCAAAGCTCAGAGATTTCTTTTTTGTTCTTGGAGAGCGATCCTTACAGTGAACCACAAAGAAAGTTGGTGACCAGAAGGGTCAACCAAACTTAAAAAAAAAAAAAAAAAAGAAAAAGAAAAAAGAAAAACGAAAAAAAAAAACCCCTCATATTAAAGAAACAAATGAGAGTGAGGGCGCAGACACTGTGTGATACTGTACATCTTCATGAATCCCATTTGTATTTCCAGCTTGCTAGGTTGCCTTCTGGCTGTGCTCCTGTACCGCAAACAGGCCTAGCGAGGCAGGGCGAGCTCGGCCAGACCGTTCTAAGTATTTGTTGCTGTGACTACCAGCCTTTCCCCTGGGCGTAGCGGCGGTGACACTTCATTAGCACCGTCAGAGCCGCGACTTTCGCGGCCCTTCCCCGGCGCTGGGGCCGGACGCTCCTCGGGGCCGCTCCCCGGGGCCGCTCCTCGGGGCAGCGCCTGGGCCCGGGGGAGGCTCTCCGCAGCAGCTGGGTGGGCTCAGGGCTCGCGGCGGAGGCAGCGGCGCCGGGGCAGGGGCCTCCTCACTGCGTGGTTCGCAGTGAGGCGAACCAGTGGGCAGGGCGCCCTGGGGTCAGTACCCAGGCTGCTCTTAGGTGAGCTCTTCGAGCGGAGCTCCCGTGTGAACTCTGGTTCCCTTGCAAAGAAAATCCATTCTTTTTGTCTTAAGGAAAAATAGAAAAAAAAAAAAAAAAAAGCGGGTAGGAATTAGGGGAGGAACACACGCATCGCCTGTATTCCAGGTAGCGCGCACGTGCCTGCTTACTCTATGCGTCCCTCTCCGTATTGCTCGGTTTTGCTGCTCTCGGATAAGTGCCAGCACTTGCCCAAGGTGAGCAAGGAACTGCAATGACGGGGTAGTCAGCCAGGGAGTAGTCAGCCAGGCAGCCAGGGGATCACAGCTCTGAATCCCAAAGCGACGAGCCCGACAGAGCACTTTTCCTCAGAAATAGAAATTCTGAGAAATTCTGGGTTTTTTGTTTGTTTTTGTTTGTTTGTTTCTTTTTTTTTTTCCCCTAACCCTATGAACCTATGAGTGTTTGAGATTAGCAGTCACTTCTCCCCCGCTTTAATTCCCCAGGGCGGGAGCGATAACCACGAAAGGCCACTTCAAATGAGTGTGCTGGGAACGAAGCCCCGCGACGGGCCAGCTTGGGGCCGGAGGCGTGGGAGGCTCTGCCTGCCGGGATGCCCCGGAGGGAGCTCCCGGGGAAAAGCTCCGCGCAGGAGAGCGGCTCCCGCTGGAGCCGGCTGGCAAATCCCTGGGGGGCGGCTCGTGCGCGTGGCCCCATGGCTGGGGATGCGGCGGGTGGCGGCGCCAGGCAGGGGCGGCCGAGGCTCCCGGGCCACCGCGGGGGTCCCCAGGCGCGGGGAGCGGCGGCCGGGCAGGAGCAGCGCGGGCAGGAGCAGCGCGGGCAGGAGCAGCGCGGGCAGGAGCAGCGCGGCTGTCCCAGCGCTGCTGTCTCTCTCCCGCTCGGCCCCCGCTGGGAGCTGCTGCTTCCTGCGCTCCGAGGCGGCCTCTCAGAAGGCGCTTGTGCTCAGGGCGGCTCCCGCCCGGCTGCCCCGGTCGCGCTGCCCTCGCTCTCCCCGGAGGAGCGGGTCGCCTTGCGGGGCGGTCCTGTCCTGCCCTCCCCTTGTGCCCTCTGCTAACGGCACCGGCGCGGGGAGCCCGGCGGGGAGAGGCCGCTGGCAGCGAATGCTGCGTGCTCTGTTCCTGCTGCTGCGGGAGGCTGAAATGCAGCGACGGGGGGCACCACGACCACCCTAAAACTGAATTTAGGTACTTGAGGTCTGATCCAGCGCGACTCTCCTTGCTAGTGCACTGCAGAGTGAGACACCTTGTCCTGCTGCCGCGAGCTGCAATTGTGCCAAGCCCAGGGGCCGAGCACAACCTCTGCGGCCTCCTTATTATTATCATTATTATATTTTAACCTACTTCTAAGCCTACCATTCAGAAAACAGAGCTGAGAGATCAGGCTCTGCTGTGTTGGGGATTTGGCATGCCGATAAATGGCTGGCTTTTAAAAGCGAGATCTAGCCAGCATCCCGCATGGATAACCTTGCAGGGAGGGAAGCTATTGCAAGTGAAAGGTTCCCTTTAGGACAGCGCTGGGAGGAATGTTGAGCTCCTTATGCTGACAGAAGGCTAATGACTTTCATGGCAGAGCAGGGAGGGGAGGGTAGGTGACAAAAACATAGGAGAAAAGGAGAGGCTGTGAGGACTTGATGTTTGCCTCGGCTAGGAGTAAGGTTCCCCTCCAGGAAAGCCAAATAAAGGTTCTGGAGTACTCAAAGTTTACAAATGTTTAATATACTTTATGCCAATATAAATCCTGCAACTGCTGAAGTTCCTTGAGGATGACACTGGGTTATTCTAGCAAACTAGGAGCAGCTGAGATGTGTGAGTGTGCACTGCGGGCTCCCTCCGTGCTTCACGCAGTGCCTGATCGATGGAGGAGCCACTGGCGCAGATGCAGTTCTTGGCAGAGAGGCAGGTTTGCCAGTTACCATCTAGTCCTGTCATAAACTGAGCTAGGAAAAAATGGGTTACAGAAAGCAAGGACGGGCACTTCTTGTTCTGTGAAGTGTCCAGTGGAGCCCCTCCTGTATGTCAGTCTGTCCACTCGCAGACAGCACGCAACAGTGGTGCAAACCAGAGGCGCAATGGTTGAAATAATTAAGAACGGTGGATCCTGAAAGGTTGGGTGTCCTTTGCTAAAGGTTCCTTTGGAAATAGGGAATGAGATGAATGAGATGGGTGAAAATAATGAGATGTTTGGAAAATACTGCACAGTTTTTTGAGAGTGCAAAGCACTTCTTCACTTGGGGAAAGTCTCAGAGATCTTTTCAGTTTGTTTGTGGTTCTGAGGGCCTTTTCCTTGCTCTTTGGAGGAACTGGAGTGAGCTCTGGGGTTTCGGAAAGGAGAGGTACAGAGTGTGGCACAGTGCCCACCCGGGCTGAGCAGGAGCAGCTCGGGCACCTTGGCTCTCAGATGCCACAAGCCTGTACCCTTTTCTCTAGAAGAGAAAAAAATGGAAAGAATGAGGCACAGTTTATGCAGAAAGAAAAATCCACTCCAAAGAGAATATGTATTTATATATATGCACATATACATACTTAATGTAGTATGTGTATATATATATATAAAGGTATACTTTAAAATGTATGTGTGTGTACATGTGCATGTGCACACACAGGCATACACATATATAAAGGGGGCCATTTCTATCACCCATAAATCTTGAACTTTGAGAGGACAAATTCCAGGACTGAGAACAAATGTTTTTAGTAAGTATAAATACGGAGCTAAATAGGGTATGGTGGCAAGGGTGTTTTGCGAGGTTATTTTTTGTGTAATGGCAGGATGTCAAAAATTATTACAAATGGCCTTTAAGCGTTGTAACTTTAAAGCACATGGATTTGCTCTTCTTTTGTATTTTGCTTGGCATTTGTGAGTACAGACGCTTTTTTTTCCCCGTTCTTGTTTGTTCTGTACACACTGTTGCCATATTATTGATTATTAGCTGTTCATGTTTATCACATAAAGAGACTCAAGCATGAGTCAATTATTAGAAACGCCACTGATGAACTTGCCTTTATATTTAGATTGCAAACAATCTCCCTTTAAACAAATAGGTAATGAAAAGTGCACATCCTTTGACTTTCTGAGCATGAGCAAATATTACAGTAACTTGCTGTCAGAGAAAGTTATAGGCTTTTTATCATTTAAAAGAGTAGTAATAGCCATCATAAATACATACGAAGTGGATTAAATACTTAATTGTGACTAATCTCTGTTGTGATGATATAGCATAGTTCCAGTTGCCATCTTCACACTGTATTATATAACCAGCCACTTAGAAATACAAATTGAAATATGCAATTTGCTTGAAAGATTGTTTCATAAATAACTGCCATATTGACAAATGTTTAGCTTAATGATGTAGTAAATGTAATTTAGAGTAAATTAACCATTAATCATATCTGCACACTTCATCTTTATTACTATTTACAGCCTCGTGTGCTATGAGATTTCAAATAACTAAATAACCAATGTGATATCACCTTGTGTGATGCATCAGACTGTGAACCTATTCTCCCACTGTCATAATGTGGAGGCTGTAGGGGAAATTGTGTTGGATGGAAACAAGGTTTATCCCAGATCTTCCGACAGACATAATGTAATCTTTCCAAGAGATCTTTATAAATGGCCCCTTTCTGGTCTGTCTGTGGGAGATCAGGTCCCACCTCTTTTTCTTCCTAGTGAGCAGAAGACCAAACTAGACTTCCATACGTGCAGGCCCATCTTTTGTAAGCGTTTCTCTCAAATGGATCTATGTGGAGCAGCTCTGGAGCCCTCTCCTCAGCTGGAGGTAGCTGCATGTTCCCT